AATATTTAACTCTCACTTCTTTTCATTTTTTCCAAGAGACAATCCTTTGAAGTATTTGAATTAAATATAATGACTAACAAATACATTTTTATTCTTTAATCCTGCTTACATGAAGATAATGTGCATCCAACAATAAACATAGTAGTTGCATATGATTTGAAAACAAGATTTTCCGAATATGGAAAAACATCACTATTGGTTCTTAACATGTTTGAATCAATGACATAATCTTCATCAAATAATAATGTGACCTTCACATGTTTTAACTTTATTTTTTTTTTCATCTTAAATCGAACTTTTAAATGAACACGAGTCTTCATGAGGATCGACCATGTAACAATTTATCATAGATTTAGATACTTGTTATTGTTGGGGACTAATTTTACAACTATAATAAGCCCCTGTTTGGCCCCCATTATTGTAGATTTTTAGGGGGTTGAAAATTTTTAGAATAGTGATTGATGGGAGATGTGTTGTTGAAAAATTTTAGATTTGTGTGTATTATTATTTTATTTGATGAATGTATGGTTGAGATGAAGAGAGAGAAAAATTTAATGTAATGTAATGAGATATAATGGGGGGCAAACAAGGGCTAAGTAGGAGGGAAACTGTTTATCACCATAACTGCCTTTTTTTTAAAGATTGGATGTCAAATCTCTAATTATGCAATAGATGAAGGACCAAGTCTACAATCATTATTCATTGGACCAAGACCGTCTATCACGTGTATCCTTTTCGTTTCCTATAAAATCATTAAAATGTCATCATAAAAGTATTTGATATATTTCAATTTTTAGGAGATTTATAACATATCGTATAAAAATATCTATTTTAAGATTTACATTCTACATAATAATGTGCTCTTTTTAATATTTTAATACTGTAACATGAAAATAATTAACTTCATAATGTTTAATTTTGATATTTTCTATTCCATTTTAAAAAACATATGATTTTCACTCGTGCAAAACTCACAATAAAAAAAGGTTGAAAGCATTTACGTCGGTATCGGATTGGATGTATGATTTTTTTGAGTTCAATTTATTGTGATAGTCTCTCGATACTTGTAATTTTATTCTGTTCAATTGCATACATTATATGGATGCACAATCACGTGTTTGATGAATATTATTTTGGAAGAATGTATTTTGGAATAGTAGATTGATGGAGAATGTGTGGTTGAAAAAGAAGGAAGAGTTATTGATGTGATGGAAAATACTATTTTAATGAAAAATGTGTGGTTGAAAATGAGTAGAAGAATGAGAATGAAAATTTTAATGGGTACCAAACATGGCCATAATCTTCATTCTCAATCTTTTTGTTGGCGTAAGAACCTGCAGTCGCTACTCGCCGTGGAGCCCTAACCACTGTGAGTGTGCACTAGGTAAACCCCGCTCCATGTGCAGTAGCCTGTAAATCACATAGGATACATAAACCATTGTGTTTGAATTTAATTTTGAGGAGAATAGAAATTTTGGAATAGTGATTGATGTGAGAATGTATGGTGGAAAAGTGATGAAAAGTTTTTGATTTGTGTGTAATATTATTTTATTTGAAGAATGTGTGGTTGAAATGAAGAATGAGAATGAGAATGGAAATGAGAATGAAAAATTAATGGGTGCCAAACAGGGGCTAAATAAACCCGGTTCAACTTTTTATATTAGCGCTCAGAGAGAGAGAGAGAGAGAGAGAGAAGAGAGAGAGAGAGAGCAGATAAGATAAAATCATGACTATAAATTTGAGATTCTCTAATTTTTTCACATTTGACCGGTACCTTGACCAGACACTAAGGGCCTGTTTGGTACAGATTTTCATTTTCTACAGTAAATCAATTCTCATTTTCAACCACACAATCTTCAATAAAATAATATTTTCCATCACATCAATACTTTTTTCTCCTTTTTCAACCACACATTTCCCATCATATCACTATTCAAAAATCAATTCTTCCCCCAAAAATCCCTACCAAACACACTCTAATTAGGTCACACATTATCCATAGTTAAATTTAAACTGCGAAACTTACTTCTAAAAATAAATTAACACTATCTTAAACATTATGAGCCTATTTAAGCTTTTTTTTTTTCTTGGCACAAAATGCATTTTAAAATAATATTTTAATGTAGAATATGTGATTAAAAAATAAGAAAAAAATTTTAAATTTTTTTGTAATATTATTTTATTTAAAAATACGTGATTAGAAATAAGCAAGAGAAAAATATATTTTGAAAATAATTGTCACCAAACAAGGGCTAAAATTTCACATCTGATTACCAACTTGACCAACCTGGATACACTAGGAACATCTCCAAAATACTTTTTTTTTTAAAAATAAAATACACATCACTCATAATAGAGACCATTTTTGAATTTAGAGAGAAATTATTTTATACAATTGAAAAATGCTATCAATTTTAGCTATTTATTGTATATTTTTTAAAAAAATATTTGTTTTTTCTCTCTTATCTTTCCTTTAAAATATTTTTTTTACAATGATTCATCAATTCAAATATAATTTGAAATTTGGATTGTGATTGGTGGAGATTAAAATTAGATTTTTAGTAGATTGTGATAGAAATTTTTGAAATGTGTGGTTGAAAAGTTGTGGGACCCATGAAAGATATGGTTAATATTGATTGTTTGACTTAAAATTAGATTTTAATTCGGACCAAATATGGGCTTGAATGGTGTAAGAAATAAAGTATTAAAATATATAACTTAATAAATGCAGTAATGAAGTAAGAATAGAAAATGAATTTTGCTATTCAAGTTTGGAGAACCAAAATCAGTCTCCATTGTAAAATGTTAAAATAGGAATACTCTGGAGTTAATTTTTAAACATCGACTAAAGTCGGGAATTATCTAAACTCTGAACTACAGTATCCAAACAAGGTGCTTGTTTAGGAGGGATTTTTGAAGGAAGAATTGATTTTGAATAGTGATATGATGGGAAATGTATGGTTGAAAAAGAAGAAAAAATTATTGATGTGATGAAAAATATTATTTTATTGAAGAATGTATGATTGAAAATGAGAATTGATTCACTATAGAATTTTGAAAACCCCTCCCAAACAGAGCCATGGTACACAGCAAAACCTGCCTCATTTTCTTGCTTTTGTCATGAGTACACCCCATTTGTACTAACCAATAAAGTAACGACAGAATTCACAGAGGAAACATGTCCGTTTGCAGAATCCCAATTAATGAAATCATGACTGTTACTCGTATTTTCCCATATTTTTATCCCTCGGCCCACAAAAAAAATACTGTGTGTGTGTATAAAGGAAAAAAGATGTGTATAAACTGTACACAGAGAGAGGGAGAGCGAGCGAGCGAGCTTTTCACTTTGAGTACTTTTTCATTTTATCACACAACACGATACTTGACAGAGACAGGAGAACGAAAATGCAGATGCACCATCACGGATGAAGAGAGAAATCAGAGTTGGAGAGTTCGATATGTGAGAGAAAGATGGACTGAAAGTGAAAATCTTAGCAGCAGGATATTCCCACTTCTTTCTTCGCCTCTCACCTAAAGCCGTCACCGCAGACCCATACTTGATGGAGACACAGAACGAAAATGTAGATGACCCATCACGAATGAAGAGAGAAAACAGAGTTGGAGAGTTCGATTTGTGAGAGAAAGATGGACTGAAAGTGAAAATCTTAGCAGCTGGATGGTTTTCTTGCAACAGCTGCTGACCAAGATTCTGCAAACCAGATTTTCATCTTCATTTGTAGTTTTGATCTTGATTTCTTAATTTTTCCTCGTTTTTGCTTGTCAAGAAATTCAAATATTCAATTTCTTAAAGTTTTTTTAGAGGCGCCCATTTGCAAAAAAATTATTTGACTGGAATTTTGATGCATTTAGGAATTTGAGATTCAGTGAAGTTTGATTTTTCTTTTACAGTTTTATCAACAGGTTTCATGAATCATGATTTTACAATTTCTAAATATTACACGAATCTATTGATTTGTAATTGTTTATTACATTTCTTCTTATTCTTCTCTTTATGAGACTTGTTGGCATGAAAATCTGTCCTTCTATTTTGTGCTTTTCATTTCCTACTTATTTGGTCTAAACACATTTTTGTGTTTTTATGTAGTTGGTGTCTGAAATATTTACAGTTTTCCCCCTTTTTTGGCAAATATAAGTTCATCCTCTGCTGCCAGATTTGAGCATGTGGTTGGATTTTCTTTTAAAAAGCATTGTCCCTTTATTGTGATTTCTCCTATGAAATTGTTTATTTAAAAAAAAAACAAAAACTTCTTTAGCTAGTTGATCAATTCGTATAAGGTTACAAATTTTGTGAATTGAATGTCTGTAATTATTATTATTTTTTAAAATTCTTTACTCTCTCTTTAATGAATCATTATAGGATTCATTTACTTAAATGTCAGCACTGCTGTTTTATGTAATGATGCTACTGTTAATTTGTTTATTTTCCCTTTCTTCTGTAGTCTTTGGTAGATCAAGAAGTAGATTATGAATCATGGTCGGATTTTAGTCACCTCTGTATTACTGCTGTATCATTTTTTCAAATTCGATGTGGTCCACTTACATTTCGAGTTTGCAGTGTGTATAAGAAATCCGAATGTTGAATTTACTTATCCTCTGCTGCAGGGTTTTTTGTGAATATTAGCTTAGAGGCCAATCTGGTGGAACTGTATTTTCCGTTAACTTCTGATTGGTGCCTGACTGAGCAGGTAACCTTAAATTTAATAATTTTCAATCTGTGGATCATTGTACGATGCAGGATCATCTGTTTCAATTCTATAGATCCTTATATGGAAGCATAGTGTTGAAATTCCAGTGAAAGATTTATCTCACTTTTGCAACATCATGTTTGTTTTTGTCATTCTGATGGCTAGGTTCAAGAAACCTGTCATAATTCGGCTGAAATTTGAATTCTAATACTGGCCTGGATCAGTTATCTGGATTATAAGGGACAAGCTATCCCGAAGTCAAAGGCAGTTGCATTTTTGTTATTTGCTGGAGTTATGGGAACTTTGTTGCACTCCGAATCCAGGCGCTTGTATTCTTGGTGGTGGGACAGCCACATTAGCCCAAAGAACTCTAAATGGCTCAAAGACAACCTTACTGGTGGGTTATTTCTGCAGTCTCTCTCTCTCTCTCGTTAAAATACATTGGACTATGTGGACTATAATTGTATTCCACGCTTTTTTCCTTGATTGTCAATTGACCGTGTAAATTTCTAAAAGGATGTTAGGGTAAGGGGGTTTTTTTAGTAGAGAAGACAGGGAGGTGTTTGAAAAATTTTTAAATCTTCCTTATCATTATAGTGAAAATCTGCCATGTCAAGTGGTTGTAGCTCTTACATTGAAGGTGACACAAATCTCAAACTCAGGTTGAACCACTATAAATCTGTGGATTTGCTTTGCTGTTTTTTTATTTTTGTGTTGTTTATTGCTCTTGGAGTTCGGGATTATGGTTTGACCCATAACAACTGTTGACTTCACCACATATATACAATTAAAGAAATAGATAAGAATTTCTGGTTTCACACACTTATTTGTCAAACCATTAACCATAATTAGGTAATTTTTATATTCATGATAACACGATTGAAATCAGAAATAAAGACTGTTAGCTTCTCTTGGTGTGCGTCATGGCTGCTTAAGCTTCACTTATTGCTTTGGTGGATGTTATGCGGCTTGTTGCTTTCGTGTAAAAGTCTGAATCACATTGTGAACAAAATCCAAAAGAAAGCATGCATAATACAAATATTAAAATCATACTTTTGTTGATTGACCTTCCCCATGTTGCACTCTGTTACTTTTACATAATACTACGTCTTTTCTCTGCTTGATTTTGAGACAATGACATCAAAATGGAAATATAAACTATGTGTTTGGTGAACAGATATGGATTCCAAAGTGAAATCCATGATCAAGCTCATTGAAGAAGATGCTGATTCATTTGCAAGAAGGGCCGAAATGTACTATAAAAAACGTCCCGAGTTGATGAAATTGGTGGAGGAGTTCTACCGGGCTTACCGTGCATTAGCTGAAAGATATGATCATGCAACTGGGGAACTCCGACATGCCCATCGAACCATAGCTGAGGCATTTCCGGATCAAGTACCTTATGAACTGGTTGAAGACTCACCTTCGAAATCTGTGGGACAAGATATGGAGCCTCACACACCAGAAATAAAACGATCACTACGTGCATTAGTTGACCTACATGACTTGCATAAGAGCGCCTCGGAGGATGGACCTCATATGGGAGATATTGAAGGTGGGATTAGAAATATAGGTTTGAAACAATTCCATGAGATTTTCTCGGGGAAAGAGGCAGATGCAAAAAATTTGAGGTCTGCTGAAGGAAGAGTAAAGAGAGGTCTGAACGTGGAAAAAGAAAGAAAAGAAGGCATTCACGATGAAGTTCTCCATTTGTCAAATGAAAATCATAATCTGAAAGAGAAGGTTCTTTTTGAGTCTACTAGAGCAGGAAAAGCTGAAAATGAAGTTCAAGGCTTGAAGAAAGCACTTGCTGATATGCAAGGTGAAATGGAAGATGTCTTTCTCAAGTATCAAAGGTGTCTTGAAAAGCTATCTAATCTTGAGGGAGAGCTCGATTATGCAAAAAATAATTCTATGAAGCTCGGTGAAAAAGCAAGTAGGGCCGAAATTGAAGTTCAAACATTGAAGGAAGCCCTTGTGCAGTTAGAGGCCAAAAGGGACGCTGCTTTAGTCAAACAAAAAGAGTACTTGGAGAAGATATCTAATCTGGAGGCTATGGCTTCACAAATTCAAGAAGATATGAAGGAACGAGCAATTAAAGCTGAAAATGAAGCTCAAACTCTGGAAAATGAAATATCAAGGTTAAAGTTTGAAAAAGAAACTGCATTTCATCAGTACAAACGGTGTCTTGGAAAAATATCAGATTTGGAGAACACAATTGCAATAGCCGAGGAGGAAGCCCGAGCCCTTGAGAAACAAGCTGACAGAGCTGAAACTGAAGTCAGTGAACTGAGAGAAGCTCTTGCTAAGCTAAAGGAGGAGAAAGAAGCTATTGCCTTCTTGTACAAGTGCTGCCTGGAGACCATATCCAAGCTTGAGCATGATACAAGTCTTGCCAAAGAGGAATGCGATCGCCTTAAGAGTGAAGTTCTTAATGGAACAGAAAAGCTAAAGAATGCTGAAGAGAAGTGTTTTCTGTTGGAATCGTCGAATCAGTCACTATGTGTTGAGGCAGAAAATTTGGCAAATAAGATTGCAATGAAAGATCAAGAACTTTCCGAGAAGGAGGAGGAGTTGGAGAAACTTCAGGCTCGACTTCTAGACGAGCACTTACATTATGCACAAATTGAAGCCACTCTCCAGACTCTACAATGTTTGCACTCACAATCGCAAGAAGACCAGAAGGCTCTGGCACTGGAGCTCAAGAATGGGCTACATATGCTGAAGGACTTGGAAATATGCAAACATGGCTTGGAAGAAGAAATTAGGCAGGTCAAGGATGAAAATCATAGCTTGAGTCAAATGAAATTATCTTCAACTGTTTCAATGGAGAATATGCAAACTGAAATCCGTAGCTTAAGGGAGATGAAGGAGAGGCTTGAACAAGAGGTTTCCCAACAAATGGCGAAAAGTAACTCGCTTCTGCAGGAAACTTTGTGTTTGAAAGAGGAAATGAAAGGCTTAAACAGTACATACCAGGCTTTAGTCGAACAAGTGGAAGCAGCAGGGCTGAACCCAAACTGTATTGGAACTTCAATAAAGAGCTTTCAGGATGAGAACTCTAGGATGAGACAAATATGTGAGCAGGAAAGCAATGAGAAAGAAGCATTGTTGAAGAAGTTGGAAAATATGGAAGAACTTTTGAAGAAAAAGGCTTCTGCGGAGAGCTCCCTGTCAGACACAAATGGTGAGCTTGAAAGATCGCGTGAAAAGGTGACGTCATTGCAAGAATCTTGCCAGTTTCTCCATGGAGAGAAGTCCGCCCTAGTTGCCGAGAAAGCATCCATTCTTTCTCAGTTGTACGCTGTAACTGAGAACACGCATAAGCTATTGGAGAAAAATGCTGTTCTAGAGAACTCTCTGTCGACTGCAAAGGTTGAACTTGAAGGTTTGAGGGAAAAGTCAAAGGGCTTAGAAGAGATTTGTCAACTGCTTAGGGACGAAAAATCCCATCTTTTGAGTGAAAAGGGCACCTTAGTTGTGAAGTTGGAAAATGTTGAGAGAAGACTAGAATGTCTAGAGAAAAGATTTACAGGGTTGGAAGAAAAATATGCTGGGATAGAGAAGGAGAAAGAAGGTATGCACTTTCAAGTAGAAGAACTAAAGGTATCACTTGGTGTGGAGAAGCAAGAACGAACAAGCTCCAATCTTGAAACTGAGGGTCGGTTCTCTGTATTAGAAAACCATATTCATCTCCTGCAAGAAGAAAATAGATGGGAAAAAAAGGAATTTGAAGAGGAACGTGATAAAGCTCTGAAAGCTCAGTTCGAGATGTACGTTTTGCAAAAGTTCATTAAAGATATGGAAGAAAAAAATTACTCTCTCATTATCGACTGTCAAAAACACGTCGAGGCTTCCAAATTGGCAAATAAAGTGATTGCAGAGCTGGAGAGTGAGAACCTTGAGCAGCAGGTAGAAGCGGAACTATTGTTGGATGAAATTGAAAGACTGAGGTTGGGCATCTACCAAGTGTTCAGGTCCCTTGAAATTGGAAACGATTTCACTCCTGAGGACAAGGTCGAAAATGAGCAAACCTTTGTGCATCATGTTCTTCAAAATATTGAGGATATGAAATGTACTATCTCAAAACATGAGGATGATAAGCAGCAGCTTTTGGTTGAAAACTCAGTTCTTGTAACACTACTTGAGCAGTTGGAGTCAAAGGGCATAGAAATAGAGTCACAGAAGATATACTTTGAGCAGGAATTCAAAATTGAAGCCAAGAAGCTTGTTGAAGTTAAAAATGAAAAAGACGAACTTCTAAATATCAACAGGAAATTGGAATCCGAGGTGATAAAGAGTCACCAACATACTGCTCTTCTTGATACTGAAATGGGAAGGCTTTGTGTCCAACAGGCTGACTTGCACAAAGCGTACATTGCATTACAGGAAGCACATTCTCATATTCTTCAAGAAAACAGATCTTTGCTGAAAAAGTTAGCTGATTTCAAGGAGGATAAATGGCTGGTAGATCAAGAAAATGATGTTGTTCTCCTGGAATTGTTAGCCATTGCTAACCAATCTTTAGTTTTCAGGAACTTTGGGGCCGAAAAAATTACGGAGTTAAACTTACTACTTGAAGATTTGCACAGCCAACATGAGGTCAACAGTAATCTTGAAAAGGAAATGAGCATGTTAAGAGGGAAGCTGGAAATGCAAGAAGCGGAAAATTTGATGCTTAAAGATGCTGTTCATAGGATGGAAATGGAGCTGCAAGAGATCAGCGAATCTAATGTTGAGATGGAGCAGGAAAATTTTAATGGAAAGGAGATATTAATTCAGAATGAAACAAAACTCTTAGATGCCAAGATGAAGCTTGAAGCTGCCGAAAACCTGAACTCAAAGTTGTGCAAAACAGTGGACAGACTGGAGAGTGATATTCTAGAATCAATGCAGATGAGAGATAATCTAGAAAAGGAGATGTTTCAGCTCTCTGAAGAAAGTGTTATTCAGAACGAAGAAATTGAAAGTCTTCATGTGGTGAATGCAAATTTGGTCTCTGAACTGAATCAACTACATGAAGAAATAGGAGAACGGAAAATCAGAGAGCAAAATCTGAGTTTAGAGCTTGAAGAGAAGAACAGCGAGTTTGAACTCTGGGAGGCCGAAGCAGCTACATTTTATTTTGATCTTCAAATTTCTTCCATCCATGAAGTTTTATTTGAAAATAAGGTACATGAGCTTATTGGGGCATGTCAGAGTCTTGAGAATGAAAGTGCTTCAAAAACATCAGAGATTGAACGGATGAAAGGGAAAATTAGTTCAATGGAGACTGAAATTGAAGAATTAAAATCCCAACTATATGCATATGCTCCTGTAGTAGCTTCTTTAAAAGATGATGTGGCATCTCTTGAGCATAATGCTCTCCTTCATACGAAGCTTAAAGATGCTCATGGTCGGGAGCTAGAGGTAACTTTCCTTCTTCTAATGAGCAGATTTATGGCTTCATTGTAAAAGCATCGAGAACTTGTCTTATTCATCTTTCGCATTCCTTTTTCTTCAAAGTCTTTCCAGCTGAACCTGCATAATATCATTTTAGTGTTTTGTCTCCTAGAATTATGAAATGGACATGCAATTCTATTTGTTGCCCTAAAATAGAACTCTGTGGACGTCAGGTTGCCTTTGTAATAGTCAGAGATATGTGGAGGAGCAAAACTTTTATTCTCAGTCCCTCCGAGTCTCATTCGGAAAGACACTTTTTTATGGGGTAAAACTATAATTTTAAGAAATTGAGAATGTGGCAGTTAGTCGTGTATTCAGAATTACTTCGTTACCATTACCGTTGTCCGTGTGATGTTTTTGCAGAGATTCAGCTGAAGTATATCTTGAATCTGAAAGTCTGTAGCATGATGTATAGGGCATTTTGGCTAAGTTTAGAAAGAAAATATAAGAACTTAAAAGAAAAGAAGTAAAGACAGACTTCAAAAAAAAAAGAGAGCAAGTTTTTGAACTAGAAGTTACTTTTAACTTTTTCTTTTGGCAGACATGTTTGTGTAAAAAAAGATTTTTAGAAGTAACTTTTCAGCTTATAAGTGTGCTTGGTTAAGCTTGAAACTTAATTTTAAGTAATTATACTTTATTGTAAGGCTTCACCAAACTTGCTCACTCAGTCTCTGCATTTCATGAAATGACTAAAATAAGACATTTTTTTATTTCTACATTTGTCTCCAAGTTGAAGATATTATGTGAAGTATATTTGTTCAATATTGATGATGAACTAAAATGGAAAGCGACTGAGGTCTGTATTCTCATCCTTTTACTCGTATGCCGACTGGAAAATCTTTTCATTACTGGTAAATGCTTTCGCTGAACTTTTTTTGTGCCACATCTTTGCAGTGTTCAGAACCAGGGACCCAAAATCGTATGGAAGATCGATTCCCTGTGCCAAATGAATTTTACGATTTGCAAAAAGTGCATGTTAGAATCAAAGAAGTTGGAAAGATAATGGAAGAAATGAACAAATCTGTTTTGCAGGGAAGATCAAACTCCATCATCCAGCAAGCTGATTCCACGGTTGAGATTGAGCATTTAAAACAACGACGAAGATCGGGTCGGGACAAACTTTATAATGACCCCAGCAATTCTCCCAAGTTGCAGAAAATAAAAACAAAATCCATTGAAGCCCGGAATGGTATGCTAATGAAAGATATTCCTCTTGATAATGTTTCTCATAGCACATTACGTGGAGTCCGCAGGAGAGGTACTGTTGGAGCTGATGATCAGATGCTTGAGCTGTGGGAAACTGCCGAGGACGGAAATCATGGTCGAACAATTGGAGAGTCACTAAAGCAGGCATATAAATTGACAGAAAGTGATATTGTGTACGATCATTTTGAGAACTTAAAGAGAAACACGGAATCTTGTCCAGATATAGAAGTCGAGAAGGAGTTGGGCGTTGATAAGTTGGAGCTATCTGCACGATATACGGAGCCCAGTCGTGAAATGAGCAGTAGAAAGATCCTTGAGAGACTTGCATCCGATGGGCAGAAGCTCGTAAGTCTTCAGACAACAATGCAAAACTTGAGAAGGAAATTGGAGATGAACAGAAATGCTAGAAAGACTATGAATGTTGATTTTGAAACAGTTCAGGAGCAGTTAGCAGAAGCCGAGGAAACTGTTGAGAAACTAGTTGATTTAAATGGTCAACTGGTGAAAAATATTGAGGAGAGTCGTTCGCCAGATGGAAGGGCATCCCCAGAGTTGAAAGAGGCTATGAAACTCAGCAGAAAGGAAGTTTCGGAACAAGCACAAAGAGGGTCTGAACGGATTGGTCGTCTGCAATTAGAGCTTCATAAGATCCAGTACGTGTTAATGAAACTCGAGGATGAAAAGAAAAGCAAAGGACGAGGAAAATTTTTGCGGAGCAAAACGAGCATTATTCTGAGGGACTTTATTTACTATGGGAGGAAGAACGGTGGGAAGAGAAAGAAGGCTCCTTTTTGTGGGTGTTTTAGGCCTTCAACTAGTAGAAATGGAAGGAGCTTGTAAGTTTTACTTTTTACTGAATATGTATTGACTAGCATTTTGCTGAAATGGTTCTTGTATTATACTGAAAGGATCATCTTTTTCAGCTAGTTTGGCAGAACTGATTTTCCTAGTCTAGCTGGAGGAATTATGAGGATTAGATTTAATCTAATTCAAAATAAGCTATTTTCTACCTTGTTATGTTCAAGTGGAATCTGAAAAGTTTGGTGTTCTACATGCTATAGCACAATGTGTAACTACATAATCTTTCTAGTCACTTGTTAGTCTGGTTTGAAACAATCTCGTACCCCTGCTGGGTTGGAGTTATTTTGTCCACCGTTGACGTGTGTATACTATTTTCGACAATTCAACATAAGTTATTTCCTGCTCATGGTGGATAGGAATTATTTTGTCCACCTCTGATGTGAACCTATAATTTCGACAATTCAAAGTAAATTTTACTTTTAATTGTTGAAAATTGTAGCCTAGACCACTGACGTCATATTTTATCTTACCCATCATAGGTAGGAGATCATTTCTATTAGGGTCCGTTTGATTGCAAATGTGAAAAATGGGTGGAAAGAAAATGAATTTCAGGGAATTGAATTGTCTAGAATTGTTTTATTAGGAATTGTAATTAATTGTGTTTGATAGTTATAATTTTCCATATAATCCGTACTTTGTTTTTCATGCAAATTGTTACTTTTTGGGATAAATTTTTTTATAATCTATATTAAAATTTGTTTAGATTGCCAAAAAGTAAAAAAAAAAAAAAATGAAATTTTTTTGTATTCGTTTGGCTTTATTTTTCATGTAAATTGTCAATTAAATGAATATATATTTTTACCATTGGATTTGAAATTTGTTCCAATTGCAAATAAAAAAAAAAAGATGGAAAATCAGATTTCCATCAAAAACCAAAGAAATCAAATTCCTTAAAAAGCAAGAAAGTTGGCGCGTGAGGTTGGTAAGTGAAAAATGGATTCTGGGCAAAGTATTGTCTATCAAACGACTTCAAAATTGGAAAATAGAATCTTTTTTCTCACTTTCATGGAAAAGGTCCCTTATCAAACATGGTCTTAGTTCATTTGGCAAGGCTATGTCATTATTAGAGTTTTTGAGTAGAGCTTCGAAACGAGTTAAATGTTTTTTTTGTCAATCGAAAGTGTGGTGAACCGTGAGTTGATTTTTGAGCGGAATAGCTAAAAAGAAAAAAAAAATGCTGTTGTAACAGTACATACTGCAAAAATGTTTGACTAAATATTATTTATTTGTTATATATTGTTATAAATTAATTATTTCGCCTGAATGACTATTGTACTCTTGTAACCTAATTCTTATCAAAAAGTATAGAGTTTTGGTTCTCAATAAAATAAACACAAGTCTATCGATTTTTTTATTTTCTCTAGTTTATAATACGTTATCATCACGAAATTCCAACTTACTGAGTTAGAAAAAATGAATTTTTTCTCTTCGAAGAAAGGCGAAAAGTTCTAGCCAATTCATGAAATAATTCTTCTCTATCCAAAAGAAAAATGTAAGTATTCTTTTGAATTTAATTTACCAAACAACAAATTAGTACAAATTTTTTTATTTGATTATGTCGTTGTCACTATATTTATTTAGTAGACATATATTGTTGTCAAAATTACTTATTCTAAAATATCAATATTTCAGAAATATATTACATTATTGCTCACGAAGAAGCATATATATTCTTGAAGGATAGCGTCGTGATTCATAAAAAAAAAATAATTTATATAAACTTATATTCTATAAGAATATTATGTTATGTTTCTTGAAAAAAGCACAACATGTGTATCTAAACATCATACAAAGATTTATTTTTATTTAAATAAAAACTACATTATGTGACTATTTAAATTTTTATCAATTTAATATGTGTACGCAATCTCGAAAGTATCTATTTTCAACTGTGTTTTCATGAAGATATACAACTTTATATTATGTGAATATTCCAATAGAATCTTGTAAACTTTCGAAGGGCAAATCTTTATTCTAGGTAATATTTAAAATATTTAAGAATATTAATCTCTTGTTGCTCCCGAAGAAGCCACATTTTATATTATTAATAGTAAAAATATTATATTATCCCTCCCAAAGAAGCTTAAAATTTATTGTCGTTGTGTTCTTGAAGAAGCACGAACATGTACGTGTCTAAAAAATTGAGAAGAATACTGTATTGGTGCTCCGGAAGAAGATTAACCAAAAAATTATCAATATTCTATAAAAAAATAATTTTGATTCTATCAAAGAAGCACAACTTCATATTATATTCTTATTTTAGTAAGAAGCACAAATTCATCTATATCAATATTGAGAAAAATATTTTGTTGTCGCTCCTAAAAAACATAATTAAATATGTTTCAATTATTCTTGAAGAATATTATGTTGTGCTCTTGAAGTAGTACAAGTCTTAAATAATATCATATGACCTAATCTCATGAAGAGGTGATATTTGTGCAAAAATTATCTATGCAGTGGCACAAAATTTAGTCAATAAATTATGCTAGATTGCTTACAAACATCCGCTCGTAAAGTTGGTTAGTAATTTGGGGTTAAGTTAATCAATATTTTTCCCGCTCAAGTGTTGATTAAGTTGCACTAATTGTTTATGTACTTAAATATGTAACATCATATTTTGCATGTGTGATTTAAGTTTTCATGAGGTTATTACAACTTTCAACATGCCTTTCTTGCGGCAAGAAAAGAGAGGCCCAATTACCCAATTTGTTAAAAACCAAACTAGAAATTTAGCCATGTTGTGGAAATTTTCGAGAAATCTTTGATCCGAGCTCAAAAAAATCATCTAAACAAACACCACTCGAGGCTTGCTCGACCCACAACCTTCACTTTCGGCTGCCCTCTTCACCCCACTCCAGTTGCCCCATCTAACCTACGAAGGATGCTGTAGATGTTGTGTTCTCCTCCGTGAGTAAATCGAAATCATGTATTTACTTGCCAAAAATGATGCTCGAGTGAATGAGAAATTGGTGCTCAAAGTATGCCATGTGAAATGAGTTTATATGGATAAGAAAACTAAAATAAACTTGTCTCACATAGGAAAATGAGTAAAGTAAAAACCATTTTATATAGGATTGCACTTTGGAAGGGTGTAATTATGTGTAGCATAGATACTCTCTCCAAGTGCGCGGGCAGGGGGTGCAAATCACTGACCGAAATGAGTTTTGGACCTTGAACTCGTATGCGAACGCGACCTGCGCGCACGAATGTCAGACTGGATTGACCAAAAATTGGCCCTTCAGGTGGGCCTACGTTTTGGAATTTGTTTTTGCTTTCTAGAATTGACTTTTGGGTTTATGAAACTCCAAAACGTCTGAAACTCCTTTAGTTATTACAAGTGAGTTATAGAGACTTTGGGAGTTTAAAGTCTACATAAGAGAACATTTTCCTCCAGTTCAAACACACGAAATTTCCTCCTGTTCTGCATACTGTCGAAACTCCAGTTCTGCATTCTGCTTCTATCTATCTTGCATACTGTTTTCCTTCCAAACCTTGTTTCGATTTTCTGGTGGTGATATTGTTCGAGCACTAACTCCGTTCGCCGGAGTAAAAACTGTTGTGTTCAGATTTTACTGGTCAACAGTTGTANTTTTAGAAATGGCAATCGATTCCACCAATATGAATGTGTCACAAGCTGTGGCTACTCAAACTATTGCTCAGACTGTGGCTAAAGTTCTAAGTCATGTTACGAGCCAACCAATGGCTATTGTTCCGGTTAATCATGGTGAAAAATCGGAGAAATTCAATGGCTTGAATTCCAAGAAGCAGCAACAGAAAATGCTATTTTATCTGACCACCTTGAATGTTGTGAGATTCTTGACTGAAAGTGCTCCAAAACTCAATGAAGATGAGGGAGATGTTCAAGCGATCAGTGCACTTGATGTTTGGAACCATTCAGATTTTTTGTGCCAAAACTACATTATGAACAGCTTAGCAGACTCGCTATACAATGTGTATAGTACTATGAAAACTGCTAAGGAGCTGTGGGAGTCTTTGGACCGAAAATATAAAATTGAGGATGCCGGTGCTAAAAAGTTTATTGTCGGTAGATTCATAAATTATAAGATGATGGACTCCAAAATAGTAATCAGTCAAGTGCAAGAACTCCAAGTGATTCTTCATGAAATTCATGTCGAATTGATGATTTTGAGTAGAACTTTCCAAGATGCTGCAATTATTGAAAAATTGATCCCCGCGTGGAAAGATTTCAAGAATTATTTGAAACACAAACGAAAGGAAATGAATGTTGAAAAACTTATTATTAGACTTCGAATTGAAGAAGACAATAAGAGTTCTGAAAATAAGTTGTTCAATCCTAGTGTTGCTAAAGCCAATATTGTGGAACATGGTCAAAGTAGTAAGAACTACAAAACTAAGGTTGGGCCATCCGGTGGAAAATGGATCAAGCTAGGACCGAAAAGTGGCATTTTGAAGAAGAAATTTCAAGGAAAGTGCTTCAATTGTGACAAAGTAGGCCACAAATCTTTGGAGTGCAAATTGTCAAAGAAGGAAAAAGAAGCAAATATAGTTGACTACATTGCACATGATGTGTTGGAGATGTATCTCGTTGCCATCATTTCTGAAGTGAACATGGTCGGTTCAAGTCCAAAAGAGTGGTGGATTGACACCGGTGCTACAAGGCATGTGTACTCTGATAAAGAGTTGTTTATGGCTTTTGAAGCATTTGAAAATGGAGAGGAGTTGTTCATGGGAAATTCAGCAACTTTTGAAATCAAGGGACAAGGCAAGGTAGTTCTGAAGATGACTTCGGGGAAAAGAGCTGACTCTTAACAATGTGCGGTATGTGACGGAAATCTGTAAGAACCTAGTGTTCGGATCGCTTTTGAATAAGTATGGTTTCCGTATTGTATTTGAGTCTGACAAAGTTATTTTGTCAAAAAGCAGAATATTTCTCAGAGAAGGTTATGTTTCCGATGGTATGTTTAAACTTAATGTAATGGTTGTTAAGCAAAAAATGA